CTTGTGTGTTATATATCAGGTGCCTTTCATCCATGATCTGTTTCGTCCATTCTATGTCACTAGCAATTTGTCCACCCTATATGTGATGGCGCTATTCCTTCCAGAGGGTATAGTTTTTTTTACTGGTGTTGGCTTTAAGCAGCCTGTTGTAATGTACCTATTCCGTTTCATTTAACGCAGTATCAATTTGTTTGGTGTGTGATGATTAAAGACCGGATATCATTGCATTAAAAATATCTTAAAATTGCACTAAAAATATGTCAAAATTGCAATGAAAATATACCAAAATTGCAGTGTAAATATGTTAAAATTGCAATGAAATACATTAAAATTACATATTAAAATCATATCAAATATGTAATCATTAATTACTTACTTAAATAATATTATGGACATTTATATAATATTTACAAAATATATTTTTTTTCTGAATTAAAATTTATAATTATATATATATATCTCTAAATTGTGTTCTTGAAAATGGTATCGTCTGTTACTTAAAATATGTTTATATAATGAAAAAGTATGTTCAACGTCGACACTTGTTATCGATGCATATTTAAAATAGTTTAAAAATTGGGTGTTATATCTAAATAAACATTTTGATTTCCTGTTATAATCTTAGAGTAAGTTTTAATACTTTTATATCCTTCATTTTTTTCTAAGATATATTTTAATTTATCTTTAACTATTTTTTCATTAAGACCGGGAATATCTATAGAAATATTTATACTAAATATGGTTAAACTATTAAGTAATTGACTATTTGATTCTTCTAAACTTGTGAGTTTTGTGGATAACCCAGATAAATATAATTTAAAAATCCTAAACTACATATAAGTACACGTAAAAATTTACATTAAATTGCAAAAAATTGCATTATTAAATTAAATAGGAAGACTGTAATTAATATGATTCATATACATATTTGATCAGATTTGATTTAGTGGGTATCAATAAAAAGTTGCAATATCAACTAAATTCGCTCTTTAGTTATAATATACTATAGTTATAATTGAAAATCATATCACTATATGATAACATTTATAGTAATAAATTGTTCACACTTAAAAATTATACACAACAAATTTTATGAAATCATTTAGACATTTCTATATAAATGATTGCACAAATAATGAGTTTCGAAAAAAATTGATGCACTTACCTTTTTCAAATATTTATAAGACATTTTGAATTTCTGAAGTGTTACAAGATTCAAACGTGAGGATTTGACGAAATAAAAATGTTTTTCTTGTACAATTTAGTACGGAAATGAAGTTATCAATGTATTATTATTTTTTATTCATATAATATTCTCAAGGTGAATATACTATCAGTATTTTTACCCATAGAAAAAGATTACTCTATATATGTATCAGACCCCTTCTTTTGATAAGAAATAAATATTATTATCCTGATTAATTTTCAATAGTTTATCAACTGACGTGGTACTGCATGGTTAAAAACACCAAATTTCATATTTTTGATAATGCAAAGCATCCATATCAATATTGTTAAATGGATAATAGAAGAAATTGGCATTTAAATTATCAGTTAAAATAGTCCAGTTTATAAATTGTCATTACGCCGTTTTTTATTAGACCCCGCAAGTTGAGTCAATTGATTCTTTTGAATGGTATGTTGAATTGGTTTTACTTTAAACTTTATATGATTTTTATTATTTAGGAAAACATTACTAATTATTGTATTTTAATACAATATTTGAAGGAGGTATATTAAAAAACATGCAATTCACAGAAATATTAATAGGTGGGTCGATTTGTTATACAATATAATTGGTTTAGGGATAATACAAGGTTATATATTTACTGTATGTATCAATTTAATATCCATTACTTATCCCCTAAAAACCTAAGAATTCACCTTTTAGATAACAGTTAAAATTTTTTTTTGAATGGGTGGTGTAAAAATATTAAATGTCAGTCAAGAAAAAAAAAGTTCAAACTACTACTGCTATAACCAGTACTGTTACATAGGCCAAAACTTTCAAATATGACCTTCTTATAATTATTGGAAATTATTTTCAACAATTAATATAAATATAAAGGAACTTGAACTTTTTGCAAGTAAAATATACAACGTTTACCGTTGCAATTATTAACATAAACGCAAATATTCCATTTTTATGTCCTAAAGCTTAGGCACCTCTCATCTCTTGCTGCGACCCTGGTTTTAACATTTAATATTTATCTACTTAATTGTTAAATTTTCTCTTAATTATAAATTAATTGACTTTAAACTATATTTGTTGTCATGGATGATAGGAATATAAATAAATAATTGTAGAAATGTGCATATGTAATATGTATGGCTAAATTATTTTAAAATGTACCAATATCTTTTAAGTATAATATTAACATTGTTTATGTGTATTATATTTATTCATACAAAAGGTGTAGTTTAAAAATTAACATTCCTTGCATTCTGATGCATTATTCTGTTTTGTTTGTGTTTAAGATCTGTGTATAATTAGGAATAAGTATTTCCTAAAATAACAGATTTTTCAATTTACAAAATTAGTGATAATGTTAAATTAGAATGAAATAACGAAAAATTGATAATATTCTTCGTATTGTATATGTTAATAATGATGCACAAACAATAAATATGTATATCCTTTAACATATAGAAAAATAACAAAATAATTAAAGTGTACAACGTATTACATATATTAAATTATTATATTTAATAAATTTGTATTTTAAATTTTATTTTAGATCAATATGAGTATTATAAACTGGATTTATAAAACACTTGGCATTGATAACTCAAGCTCCTCGTAATTATTATATATTATTACATGCCAAATTTATTTCTCTTATTCATAACAATTTTTCTGTTTTAGTTTTGATGTACCTTCAGAATATAAATTATCAACTAAAGAACCAGATTTAAATATGAATTTTGGGCATAATGATTTTGAAGAAGGTATTGGTATATACTCTTCACCTTAAATAATTTTTATTTTATATTTTTAATAATTTATTAAAATGTTCAGACTCTTTTGAAAACAATTTGAACAAGTTATTCCATTTAAGCTTTGAAGAAATATTAAAACAATTTGAAGCAGAATTAGAATTTTCAGATATAAATGAAAGTATTAAAAACAATGACTTTTTAGGTAAGTTTTTGCGATATTAAATCATATTTTTATTAGCAATACTTATTTATTTTTCAGATCAATTTAATGCAAAAAAAGATTATTTTAATCAAGTCCCTGATGTAATAGAGTACAATACCAATAAAATACCAAAAAAAAATTTTCTTGTGAGGAATTATTTTCTCAAGCAAAAGTAATTTTAAATAATTAACATTTTTTTTTTTTTTAACAATTAATTAAAAAATTTTATTATGTCATTAGTTCAGTTTCAAACATTTTGAATGAACCTCCAATTAGAGAAACAGTATCACCTCAATTATATTTTGGACAGGTCTGATTCATATATATATATATGTATACATTATTATTTAAAATTTGTACACTATTTAATATTGCTATTTAATTTTAGTCAAGCCCTAGTTCTAGTTCTAGCACTAGGACATTTATTTCTGGTAACTATAATGGCAGAAGAATAGAAAAAGAAACTAGCTCTAAACAATTACAAGGTGGATTAATTGAAAAAGTAATTGTTATGAGGGATGGAAATCAGAAATGTGTCACAACAATAATAGAAAATGTAAAAACAGGAGAGCAGAATTGCCAAAAAAATTTAGTCAATTTGGATGAAAGTAACTAATTTAATCATTTATTTTTAAATTATGTTAATTAGAATAAAATATTTACAAGTTATATTTCATTTTTTTTCTAGGTCAGTTAAATGAATTCGAAAATCGTTTCTCAAAATTTAAATAGTATAAATTAATGATATTAAAAAAAAATGAAATTAAACGAGTATAAGATTTATGAGAAAAAAAAATTAAATTATATTTACATGTCTAGTCTCTATAATTATTATACTTACTACAAAGTTACTACAAAAAAAAAAAATTATTTTGTGTAAAAACTGTTATCCCCTAAATGTTGTCTCTTTCGTAATTGATTAAAAGTATAATTTTTTTTTGTTGATTTTTCTCAACTATGCAAAAACGTATTTGAGGGGATGAAGGGGGTATTCGCTTCTATGGCTCGAATTTTTTTTAATATAATATATTGATTTATTTAAAAAATGTGATGTTTAAATAATTGAGAATATAAATTAATAGTCTATCATTATAACAGAAACATAAGCTGTAGTTAATGAACTGTAAATTATTTTTAAGTTTGTATTGAAGAAAATTAGTTTCACCCCTCCCCCCATGGCCACAACTCAAACACGCACATGTATTTAGAAATTGGTTGAAAACTGAACATTTCGCTATGATAATCCTACACTGCTATTAAAAGCTTAAAAGCTGAGTCATTGTGTTATAGAATAAAATTTTAATTATCGTGTTTTCCGTAAAATAAATTATATAGCAACATATTATAACAATTATTTTTATTTCTTACTATTGTACTTATTTTTAGTTGTTTTAATAAAAATATTGTAAGGAAAAAATGTTAAAAATATAATAATATAAAAAATACTTAATTACATAATACCTAGGTTGAAGAAAGGGGAAGCCCGGATTTAAACTTTCAGTGGCCCAGGAGCAAATACATGGTTGTGGGACCTTCCCACTAATGAAATAAACTTTAAAATTCCAAAAACTATTAAGTATATAAAACAAATATAAACCTTTTTAATTAAATATATATATTTTTATTTTTTTTAATTTAATTGGGCCTTTAACCCTTTATAAGGCACAGAAAAAAATATCGTACGATTTCTACCAAATTTTCAAATTTACTTCTTTACAGATGTAAGTTACTGTAAATGTCAAACAATTCGTAACTTCATTTACACTGGTAAAAAAAGGGTGGGAAATAATTTTCCACTGAGCATTTAGTTTCGTATTTATGTACCATGGGCAGAGGGAAATAATTTCCCACTTAATACCATACTACAATTTTTTTTTAATTTTAACTATTTTTATGGAATAAAATGTATAAATGACATGCTATATAGGTATTTAATTGTATTTTAAGATATATGTAACCTGAAAATACAAATGTTCTCAACTGAAATAAAATTCTTATGATATAGTAAACCTTATAATTTATTATAATAATTAAACAAACAAAAAATAATGAATAATAAAAAAAAAATTAAAACCTTTGGAGAATAATCTTGATTCACATTTCAGACTTCACATTATATAAAATTATAATAAAAAACAAATAAAATCAATTTTTCAAAATAAAATTATGAGATTAACTTGACTTAGATAATTCAATTCAGTCTTGAAAATGAAAATAAAATAAAATAAACTTTGTAAAAAAAAAATATATATCAACTGTTGTAATAGGCCATTAAAATCAATAAAATATACTAAGTTTAATGGTACTCAGCAAAACAATCTTTGCATAAAACCTTGTTGCAAGTTGCACATATCATATTAGATCTTTTGTCATGTTTTTTGGTACTACATCTAAAACAGCGTCTGTATTTAAAAATTTTAGTTGCAATATGTGATTCAATAATTGAAATTACTTCCAAGTTTGTTTTTGATCTTTTTTGGGATGGTGGTTATATCAAATAACTCATATAATATATCTTGATCATTAAGTTTATAATCCATCTGTAATTTATGTAAAAAGTAAACAAATTGTTCATTGAAAATTCACAATAAAGTGAAAATATTAAGTATGTGGGGTATGTTATACACTTGCCGTATATATATATTGATTCCTTATGACTTATTTGTTAAATTGATACAGTCTTTGAGTTCCTAACAGCAATCTATCTTCTGTTGTAGTCGTTTTAGTTAGAGTAAAAAAATATTGACATGAAAAACGTGTCACGAAAAATTAATAATAATAATACTTACGGTACGATATGATATTTCATTATCACACGAAAATAAAGACCAAAAACTAAGCTATATAATTATACTGATCACAGATAAATTAAACGATTTTATCAACAATAAATTTCAATTGAAACAAAACTATAAATAACTCTCGGAATAATCAGATACCGTGAATTGGCAGTGGGAAATTATTTCCCGCCGGGAACGTTTTATTTCAATAACTCATTACTAGAGTGTGCTAGAGTAAAAATACCTATATAATAATAAACGCAGAAAACTATGAACATTCGCTTCATATAAGTGGGAAATTATTTCCCTAATATCACAAATTACAGTATTTTTTTTTGCTAAGGTGGGAAATAATTTCCCTCTGCCCTATAAAGGGTTAAGACAAAAGAGTATAGTAATGATTAAATGAAATAAAATAAAATACAGTAAAAAACAAAATAACAATGAATTAGGCATTTGATTAATTTAATTATTTGTTATTTGTTGTGAAAACTTACAAAACAGTTTTTATTATTATTCAAACAAAGGTTAACATTACACTTTTCGCATTTCATTCTAGAATAACTATGTTTTGAACAATGTTTGCACCTCTTTCACTAATAGGACATGGCCAATGTTCTTTTTTTAGGAGTTGTAGGATTTACAAAATTTATACTTGAAGATGGACGTCCCCTTTGTTTTTTTTTTATTAAATCCAGCATTTATAAGTCCTTCAGCAATATTAGTTTTGAATTGCAACATACTTTGATACTTAGTTATGTGTAATTGCTGACAGTGTCTTCTGTATAGTAACCAAGCATTTACAGTGCACATATCTAAAATATGGTGTATGATTCGTAAATAATAGCGTTTAACTTTATTTTCTGTCCTGTACAATTCTACCAGCATGTCATGCAGGTCAATTCCCCCCATGAAGCTATTATATTCCTTCACACAGGCTGGTCTGACAACAGAAACATATTTTTTATTTGACATACTCCATCTTTCAACGGAATCAGTTGGTCTATTCCCATATAGTTTGATATAATATGCACATACTTATTATCAAACCACTTACAAAAAACTATTTCATTTGTAGAGTCAACTTTCCAGTTATACGAGCCACGTCCACTTTTTTTCATTACATTATCAGTCTCAAAATCACAATTACCCGTTCTATTTGATCGTACAGTTCCAATACATTGTAAGCCCGCATATTTTGTACGACATTGGAGACTATAAGAATAAAACCAGTTGTCTACAGCTACTTTATAATTTTCAAATTTAGGTATGCATTCAGTTAATCGCATGACGATGTCTCCGCTCAGACCCCAAGTCCTGTGTCGAACAGTTGTACAGTGCCCTTCCCAACATAAATTTCAAAGTCATGAATTATACCACTCTTGGAATCAATGGCAAACAACTGGAATACCACGTATCGCGTCAGCAGCAGAATCTTTCACACAACCGATCAGGTAATACAGTTTGTCTATTTTTGCC